AGGTGTGTATTTTTGTCACCATTGCCCCATGCTTATAAAATCTCTTTATTATATCTCTTATATTATATCTCTTATATTGTATCTCTTATAAATCTCTTATATTGCCCCATACTTGCTCATCAGGTCTCTGCTTGTAAGTTAGAAAATTTGACTTTGGGAGAATAGCGGGCTCCTCATGAGTCACACTGTGCACCTCCCCCTGAGGAGCCTTCTGCAATTTGAGCTGTTATAGGCCAAGCCAAAACCTTGGTGAGGGCGTCAGTGTCATCCTGCTTGGTCAACACAGGATCAGTTTCCAGAGGCCAACAACACAGGGGGTGGGGGTGGGGAAATCTCTTCCTCAGGCAAAATCATCTCATTAGCCTCTAGGAGCTCAGCATCCTTAGCTTTGTCAGGATTCTCCCAAAGGCCTCCATCCAGCTGACACGATCCATTCTTTTCCAAGCAGTGCCCTCACTTTTATTTCAGATACTCTTGGAGGCGGAACATTGAATTTAGAATATAGTCCAGCCAGTCAAGTAACAAGGGCTTGTGCTTAGGTTTCTGCAACCTCAGCCCTGCAGCTAAGAGACTTTCTTTCGGGACACACTTAGAAACTTAAATTTCTTATGTGTGTCTGGAGCTAGGAATTTGAGTCTTTGAGCTCCTTATTTCCCTTTAATTTGTCCTCACAGTCAGATTTAAGATTTCCTATAGATGTTCTGAGCTCGTTTCCTTTGCTAGTTTGTCCAGAGATGCTAAGACCAACCAGCCAGCATATTTCCCACTCTTTGAAAAATACTTAAGCTGGGCATGGTGGTGCACACCTGTAATCCTAGCCCTCGAGAGGCTGAGGCAGGACCGTTGTGAGTTCGAGACCAGGCTGGGCTACAAAGTGAGCTCAAGGCCAGCCTGAACTGCATAGCAAGATGCTGTCTCAAAAAGAAAAAAAAAAAAAAAGAAGAAAAATACTCAAAACTTTGATGTATGGAGTCACTAAATTCCTTCCATCTCACAACTTGATAAATTAAGATAATCAAATGGATCTACACTGTGTATTACTCTAAACAGTTCACACCAAGGACTATCAGTATTCTCCATAGAATTAGGGGATCATGGCATCTTTAGGTCTCATCAAATTAGAGAGCCGACTGCAGGAACTGCTACAGCCATTAAAGAATTTGGCTGGGCGTGGTGGTGCACCTATAATCCCAACACTTGGGAGGATGAGGCGGGAGGATCACTGTGAGTTCGAGACCAGCCTGGGCTACAAAGTGAGCTCAAGGCCAGCCTGAACTGCATAGCAAGACTCTGTCTCAGAAAGACAAAAATAATAATAATAA